TTCATGTTGACCATTTGTGTGACTTATTTTGAGAAATGTCTGTTCAGGTCTTTTCCTATTTTAAAATCAGATTCTTCCTTTACATGCTAGGGAGTTAAGTTCGTATGTATTGATATTTTGGGTATTAACCATCTATCTGATGTATGATTTGTAAATAGTCTCTTCCATTCCATGGATTGTCTCTTTATTCTGTTGTTTCCTTTGCTATGCAAAAACTATTTAGTTTGTGAATTTCTCATACTATTTTTCCATTTTTTTGTTTGTTTGTTTCCTGTGAACTTGGCATCATATCTAAAAAATCATTGCCAGACCAATGTCATGGTCTTTTCCTTGTAAGTTTTTTTTCTTTTTCTTTTTCTTATTATGTCCTGCTTTCTTCTAAGAAAGAGAATGAGCAGGCAGTTGAGGGTTGAGGGAAGGGGTAGACACATCCAACCTGGATTTCCTGTCGTAAACTTAAGCCAGCCAAGATCATGGCTATGCATGTCCAGAGAGACCTCAGCACACAAAACCCTGGATCTTGCCATGTGGCTTTAGTTTCTTGGAGCAGTTATCACTGCACCACTGTGCTGGCTATCCTACATCTTCTTCTAGTAGCTTTACAGTGTTGCATCTTATGTTAAAATCTAAGTCATTTTGAGTTGATATTTGCACATGGTGTGAGAACAGGGATTAATTTCACCCTTCTGTATGTGGATATTCATTTTGTTTTTCTTACACCACTTACTGAACGAACTCATTTCCCCTATTGTGTTATCGATATCTTTGTCAATAATTGGTTGACTATAAATGTATGGGTTTATTTCTGGACTCTATTCTATTTCATTGGTCTATGTGTCTGTTTTTTCTGTCAGCGTCATGCTTTTTAATTACTATAGGATTGTAGTGTACTTTGAAATCAGTGTGATGCCATGTTTCATTCTTTTTGCTAAATATTGCATTGGCTAATTAATGTCTTTTAGTTCCTGGTGAATTTTAATATTTTTCTTCTATGAAAAATGTGGGTAAAATTTTGGTAGAGATTGTATTAAACCTGTATGTTGTTTAGATAGCATGAACATTTAAACAATATTCAATCCATGAACAAGGGATGTCTTTCCATTTGTGTGTGTGTCTCTTCAGGTTTTTTTTCATCAATATTTTATCTTTAATCCCTTGGTTAAATTTACACTTCTTTCTCAGCGATTTTATTGTAAATATGACTTAATTTTTTTTTGGAATAGCCCTTTGTTAGTGTATAAAATAGTATTGGGTTTTGTATGTTGTTTTATATCCCACAGCTTTACAGTTATTTATTCTAACAGTTCCTGGTGGAGTCCTTAGAATTTTCTAAATATAGGATCACATCATCTAGAAAAAAAGACAACTTCTCTTCCTGTCCTGTTGGTGGTCTTTTTTTCCTTCTTCTTCTTTTTAAAAATCTCTCTCTGTATTGCTTAATTGCTCTAGCTAGGACTCCAGCTTCATCTTTTTGATAATTCTTCCTTTACTCATTAATCAAATATTTTCATCATTTAATAACATTCTATACTCATATGAATCTCAATTTTCAATCAATTTATCTATTTAATTCTATACTAACAGTATATATCCTTTCACTTCACAGAAATTATTAAATTTATTTAATCAGAGACAGAAAGAAAAGCACTCTCAAAAAGGTCTCATGCCTTGATCTACCTCTCAGCCTTGCCAACCATCCAGGACCAATGTGTGCATGTACCTGATATGTACAGGTAGATCCAGGAAATTAACCCCTATCTTCATATGGCTTTTCCACTGCAGAATGTTATATTACCATCGAGCCACTGCAGCTGTGCCCACAGAAATTTCTTATATCTTGTAGGGTAAGTCCTTCAGAAGTATTCTGGCTTTCTAGTCCTCCAGCTTTGAACTCCTAGTTCATCTTTGTACTTCTGTGCAATCACTTTTGGCGATCACTCATAACAACCTTGTCATTCCTCCATCACATTCAGCTCCTAGACCCCAACCCCAGAGCTATTTAAATCTAACAGTCTACCTACTCAATCATTACATACAATAAATCTAAAAAAATATACAAAACCATTCTAAAGGATGCCATTTTATAAATACAGATGTCAATGGAATTTCAGAACTGCTCAGTAATCCTACATTCTTTTGTCAATGTATCTTCCCACTCCTTTAGATTAGGAAACTGTAGCAGTGGAAGTATATTCAGTAGTGAGTAAGTCAAGCTTCTAAAGCCAGATTGCCTGGGTTCAAATTTTAGCTCTACTACTTACTAAATTTGCAACTTTGGCAAGTTAACTCTTTTATCTCAGTTTCTCTGTATCTATTTTACTATTAGTAAAATACCTCTTAAAGTCATTAGGAGAAGCAGATGTAAGAGAATAAATATAAAGCACCTGAGAATGTCTGGCATTATAGGTAAAACTCAATGCTAGGATTGTTACCCTAGATGATTTCACATCTTACCCTCTTTCCTCCACCTCTTTTTCCTACTTTTCTCTTCATTGATGGTCTTTTTACTTCATTAAGAAAGTAGTCAAAAGTTTCACATTTTCCTGTCGACAAATCTTCCAATTTATTTTCCCTATACCCATATAGTCTACCACTCTATTACTATAAACTGTTATTATTCCTACAGCAATTCCTTGCAAAAAATGTCTATAATTGATGACTAGACTTTTCCCCCCTCCCATATGACTTATCGAAAATCTCAAAATTGCCAAATCGAAGAGACAATTCTCAGTCCTTATCCTACCCTCCATTCATGTTCACATCTGCATTCTTCACTTGGCTTTGGTTAGAGTGTAACACTGGCTGCTCCTCCTATTTTGCAACTTATCTTCCACATTACTAAACTTCAGTGTGTCCAGTGCTCATGCTTCCAACCTTTCTCTGTTCTACCCGTAGTTAACCCCTTAGTGATCTCACTCAAGAGTCATAGTTTTCTGTACTCTCTATTTACTGATGACTCTCCTGAACTTCATAGCATATGGTCAGCTGCCAGTTCACATTTCAGGATGCCTAATAGGGATCTCAATGTAATGCATCCAAAATAGAACTCTTAATTTCTCCTTCAAAATCTGTTTCTCCACCAGTATCCCCCACCCAGTAAAGAACAGCACAGGTCACCCAAGTGCTCAGGGGAAAAAAAAAATCATGGTGTTATAACTAAGTTGTCTTATATCCTTTTTTTTTTCTTTTTTAGATTTTTGCCATAGAACACGTGTACTCACCAGACAGAGAGAGACAGAGAGGTTAAAGCAAAAAAATCACCCCCCCCCCAGAGGGATGGCCACACAGCAATCTCTTCTCCACTCATGCCCAGCATGAATTTCAAGCCACCAGATCCAGGACTTGAACCATGATCAGCCATGTGAGAGTCCAGAATGTAACCATTATGCCATCTGTTGGCCCCTATCCTATAGTCTTTAACAAATACTATTGGTTCTACCAACAAACAGTGTAACTAACCCAAATCACTTTATAGGTCCTCCCTTGAGGACCTAAGTCAACATCACCTCTTACCTGGACTATTGCAATACCTTTCCAATTGGCCTCACAGATCCATGTTTTTTATCCTCAGAATAAGAATAAGCCCATAAAAACGCAAAGCATGTTTTTTTATTATCCTGCTCAAACTGAACAATGGTGCTCATCCCTGTTAAGATAAAACAGGCTCTAACACCAACTACAGGCTCCACAATTTCCCATGCAACTCTCAGACCTCATCTAGAGTCACCACCCTACTGTTCACTATCAAGAAGTAGTGTAGTCACCCTACTGTTCACTCACTGTTCTGGAAAAGTGTCAGCCCATTCTACTTTCAAAGAATCCCTCTTTCTGGAAAGTTCTACTCTGCATACTCTGGCTTGTCTTTAGGCTCTTAGATCAAATGTAATCTCCACAAAGATGCCGTCTTAAACTCCCCTACCCATTGGAGCCACCTCCATCCCAAAGTCAGTATCACCACTCAACTACCTAATTTACAAAACAAATAAAACATAATTTTGTATTTCTACTTTTTAAGAGATTTTTGCTATATGACACGGGTTTACTGGAGAGAGAGAAAGTGAGAAATCAGCCCTGGCGGGGATGGCCACCACAATCCTTTTACCTCCATTCTCCTCTCCGGGTCTTGGGCACCCATGTATGCACCCAGCAGGACAGTACTAAGCCATGGGGGCTAGGACTCAAATCGTGGTTGGCCACGTGGGAGCCCAGCGACATAACCGTTACATCATCTGCTGGGCCCAAAACCTTATTTTTAAACTTACTTCTATAAACATTTTTGTCCCCTCATATCTGGACTATAAACTTTTAATAGACACTTCACTCTCCTGAATAATGTATCTACAAAGCCTACAAAAGGGCCTGACAGAAGACATTTTTAAATTGTTTGTTGAGTGAATCAACGTCCCAGGATACTTTCACATCTACTTCATTTCAGAGAGAAACTGAGGTTGAAAGCGTTAGTTACCTAAGGCCACATCAGTTAAGTGGCAACTCTGGCGTTTGCAGTCCGCCAAGTATGACATCAAAATTTGCATTTTTGGGGGGGGGTTGGTTATAACACACAGTGTCCCACTAAATTTTGCTATTTACAATTTACCAAGCTTCTTGTTGAGTGCAAGCTAAGACTTCAAAAGTCTAACTTCTAGTCGCATCACAGAAAACCCAGGCCGACACAGAAAAGCCCAGCGGGGTCCGCCCCCTATGACCTGGCGCGCCACGGCCGGCCGCTAAGGGCTGCCGAGAGCGCCTGCGCCGTGAGCTGGTCTCGTGCAAAGGGGATCTGGGATTCGTAGTCCACGCTCCTCCCATGTACAGTATTCACACGGAGATGGAAAAAAAGATGCTAATTAAATCTCTCTGAACTGCATGCCAACTAAATAAGACGCAGATCCTGGCCCAGGAGACTGCTGCAAACACGAAGTTTCCCACGAGAAGCGCCAGCCCCGAGTCAGGCGCTGCGCAGACAACCGCGCGGGGTCCTCGACAAGGCGGGGCTTGCTCGCGGTGGCTTGTGGCTCCTTCCTGGGCTGCTTCGTTCTTTCGCTCCGGCCTGTGGCGCCGTTAGGATGGGTGAGTTGTGCTGGGCCCGGGGAAGGTGCAGCAAGCGGGCTCTGGGGAGTATTGCACGGGCGCGTGGTGGGAATAGAGTGGGGAAGAAGACCTCGCGGGATGGGCGGACGGAGGAGAGCCGAGGAAGCGCGGTTCTCGCAGGGCACATGGCCCGGCGTGGGAGAGGCCTTTGCGGCGCGGAGGACGCAGGAAGGCCGGTTGCGGCTCGTGGGTTCTAGTGTAGGGCCATTCCTCAAAGTACCTGCGCCCCTTCCTAACGTGCGGATTGGTTTAGAAGCTGAACGTGGAAGCGGCTGGTGGGCCAAGGTATGGTGCAAGAGCCGACCGGCATACGGGTTTAGACCAGAGTGAGGCTCGTGTGTTAGGACGTGTAACACGTGACCCTGGTGTGTTCTTGAGGGGGCATTAAAACGATTGTGGTTTCGACTGTAGGCAAGTGTCGCGGTCTTCGTACTGCCAGGAAGCTCCGCAGTCACCGACGGGACCAGAAATGGCATGATAAACAGTATAAGAAAGCCCATTTGGGTACAGCCCTCAAGGCCAACCCTTTTGGAGGTGCTTCCCATGCCAAGGGGATTGTGCTGGAGAAAGTGTAAGTCTGCTGCTCCCTTCGTTCTTTCTTTTGCTATGGTAACTTGAGAAAAACTCAAATTTACTTAAAAGTCCTGTTTAAGAACCTGTTAATAAACTCTCTGAAAACTGTTCCAAGCGAGTGGTACCTGTTAACTCTTCTAAAGACAGAGACTTAGAACTATAAAGGAAGTGGGGATTTTCCCTCTTGTGCTAATAAATTTTATGCTTAATGTACTAAGATGTGTTCCTTTTTTGGAAAGTCCACTCACTCACCTGTGCCTTTTTATGTTTCAGAGGGGTTGAAGCCAAACAACCGAATTCTGCCATCAGAAAGTGTGTCAGGGTCCAACTAATCAAGAATGGCAAGAAGATCACAGCCTTTGTACCCAACGATGGTTGCTTGAACTTTATTGAGGTGAATGTTTCAGACTTAATCTCTTAATGGCTTTTCTTTAAGTGGCCTGTCTGATTTTTTTACTTGGTGAATGGGAGCTTCCTTGCATGAGTTGGGGTTTATGTGATTATCACTGACACGGAAGTAAATTGTGATTTTATTCCAGGAAAACGATGAAGTTCTGGTTGCTGGATTTGGTCGAAAAGGTCATGCTGTTGGTGACATTCCTGGAGTCCGGTTTAAGGTTGTCAAAGTAGCCAATGTCTCTCTCTTGGCTCTATACAAAGGCAAGAAGGAAAGACCAAGATCATAAATTTTGATGGTGAAAACACAGTAGTAATAAATTTTCATATGATAAAAATGTTTCGTATCTTGTTTTCCTTATCACAAAGATACATTTTGTGCTTTACTGGTTTTAGGAGATGGAGAGGAATATCCTCAGCATTTTCTAGAGTGAGTGGCATTTACAGTTTAGTAGGCCATTTACCTCCACAAGTAAAGATAAGTTATAAATCTGGAGTAAATGCACAGTATGCTAACAGTACTTTAAAAACAAATTAACTTTTTCTCTTTTTTTTGGGAGAGGTTTTCACTATAGGGTGTATGTGCTCACCAGACAGACATAGAGATAGAAAGTGAGAAATCCTCCAGGGGGAGTGGTCACACCACAATCCCTTCTCCATTCTCCTCTTGGGATCTTGGGCATGCATGCACATGTGCCCTGTGTGAGTTTTAAGCCACTGGGTCTGGGATGCGAATCGTGATCAACTACGTAGGAGTCCAATGACATAGCCATTACACTAACTGCTGGTTCCCAAAACAAATGAACTTTCATTAATGAGAGTCTTTTAAAGATAGTTCTCAACTTGACAGATCATCAATCTTTGAAAACTTAAGGTGAGAAATACTACAGAATTGCTCTCTCTGTATCTGATAGTGGCAGAATCCATGCTATAATTGTGTCTGCATATTGTGTTTATTGGGAGTTGTTGTATATGCCCAGTTTATACAGAGAAAAGGATTGGCTGAAGCATAAGAATACTAGGTGTATTGCTGTATTCATACTTTTATGTGCTCTTTTTCATGAACTTGTCAGTAACTAATAATTTTGATCTTACTGTAAAGATCAAGTCAGAACAATGTAAGTGGGTATAGGGACATGGTGTGTTGACAATTGTTAAAGCTGGGTGTTAAGGACACATGATGTTTTGATACCCACAGATTTCAATTAACATAAAGTGGGATGTCTCACATGAGGCTATTAACCTGGCTTAAATCTGATCTAAGGGACTCCAGTTGGATTAATTAGTGCCCAGTTGGATTAATTCGTGCCCATTAAAGCCTGAAGTGAGGTAATGTCAGGCTCTCCATGGATCCCTTACCATAGCACAGGGGAACTGTGGGCACTGCCTACTCCAGTCTTAGCCTGCCATTGTTCTGCTTGGCTCCCCATGTTACAGTGTCATGGGCTTCTTGCTGGAGCTGGACTTCCCATCCAGCTTCAGGATCTCTGTAGGTTTATAGTGTTGCCTGTAGATAGTTCTACATCAGAAGTTCTCTGATAAGATCAGCTGAGGCAGGAGCTCCAGCACAGATCCTTGGCAGGTCTTCACATTTTCACCAGGACAGAGACCCCCCTACTCTTCTGCCACCTACCACGTGTATTTGGTTGGAGTCACAATTGGCCAACCTATCCCCAAGGTCCCAGGTACTTTAAGATGGGCCATAAATGACCTAATCCTTCTCTAGAGGTGGATTTCTGGACCTCCCTCATGTGGCAGGAACCCAGAAGAGGCCTTGGGCAGGCGTAACACAGGCAGCCTTCCTGGGTCCACGGGGTACTCACGGAGGCCATTGTCACCTGCAGCAGCCGCCAGGGGAGAAGGGTCAGGTCGTGCTGTAGGTGCCCACAATCTGGTCCTAGTCTTGTGTCCCTGCTGTCTCTTGAAATCACGCCTAAGAGAAGTTAAGGGGCTGGGACCGTGGCCATCAGTTGTGGTCTGGATGTATCCAGGACTGCCCTTTTGCTATGCACTGGCTTCTGGATTGACCCTAACTTTATCTCCAGCCCTTCAAACCCCAGTGTCTGAAACGCCTCAGTTCTTTCTGTGTCCTCTGTATGCAGTACCCCTCCCCCTCCACACACCCATCACTTTGAGACCCAGGCCTCTTCCTGTGTCCGGGTGTGGCGCCTAACCGGGCCAGGCTGGGTTTACATGGGAAAGTTAGGGTGAGAAGTTTGAGGCACTCACCATGGCATAAATTTGAAGCAATATCCCAGCAACGTTTTGTAAAGAAAACCTAATCATAAAATTTATATGGAAAAATAAAGCAACTAACAATCAGTAAAATTACTGAAAATGAAAAGATTTTTATTTTGCCTTATTTTTCGAAGAGGTTTTTTGCTATAGGGCACGTGCATTTGCCAGAAAGACAGAAAGCAAGAAATCACTCCCCAGTGGGGATGGCCACGCTGCAATTCCTTTTCCTCCATTCTCTTCTCGGGATCTTGGGCACGCAGGCACGCCCAGCGTGAGTTTAACCACCGTGTCCAGGACTAGAACTGCGGTTGAACATGGGAGCCCAGTGACAACCCTTATGCCAACTGCTGGTCCCCTCCAAAAATGAAAAGAGATTTTAAAAAATGAATTGTAAGTATAACTACAGTAATCAAGATGGTTATTGAGAAGGAACAGAAACACAGATCAATGAAATAGAGTAGAGAATCCATAAATAGGTGTACAGAAATATGCCTAATTTTTGTTTTTTTCAATAAATGATATGAACTTCCACTAGGGGGAAAAGGGCCTCTACCTAGACCTCACACATTACATAAAAATTAAAATGGACTAAGCATATATATGAATGTAAAATGTACAGCTATAAAACATGAAGAAAACAGTATCTTTACAATTTAGGTTTAGACAGAATCCATAGACATTACATCAAAAGCATGACCTGTAAAAAAATGTGGATAAACTGGACTTGATCAAAATTAAAAACTGGTAAATATTAATAAGATAAACCACAAACTGAGAAAATATTTGCAAATCACACAGTCAACAAGACTTACATCCAAAATATATAAAGAACTTTTCAAACCCAGAGAGAACAGTCCCATTACAAAATGGCAAATAAGGATCTCTTCACCAAAGAGATGGCAAATAAGCAAATGAAAAGATCGGTATTAGCATTAGGAAAACGCAAACTAAAACCATGAGGTATCACTCTACACCTATCAGAATCGCTAAAATTAGTTTTTAGATAGTTTTATTGAGATATAATTCAAATATACAATTTACCCATTTAAAGTGTATAACCAAATGGTTCTTAGTATGCTCAGAATTATACAACCATCACCATAGTCAATTTTATAACATTATCAGCACATTATAAAAAAAACCCTCCATATCCTTATTTCTCCCCTTGCTCTGAACCTGTCCAATTCTCCCAACACTACCCCACTGCCCTCAGGCAATCATTTCTCTTTCTGTGTTTTCTGTATATTTACTTTTTTCTGGACCCTTTTTTTTTTTTTAACCTAACTGTAATTATATATCATTTGACCAACATCTTCCCATCTATTAGGTCATCAGAAAAGTCATGACATATTTTTCTGTTTTTCTGTGTAAAAATGCTTCATGGCTTTCCTGATGACCCGGTATTTATTCCTCTTAACCACCCACACCTCTGGGAACCACCATTCTCTCTACCTCTGTGAGAGCAACTTTTCACATATGAGTGACGTCATAACAGTATTTGTCTTTTTGTGTCTGCCTTTTCTGGCTTAGCATAATGTTCTACATGTTCATTGGTGTTATTGCAAATGACAAGATTTTATTGTTTTTTATGGATGGATATATATTCGGTTGTCAGGAAAGTATGATGTATTTTTCTGTTTTTCTATGCAAAAATGCATCATGACTTTCCTGACAACTATATAAAAATATATATATTTATACATACAGACAGACAGAATATATATGTATACATGTGTATATGTATATATGATATATACATGTGTATATGTGTGTGTATATAAAATATACATGTATGTATATATACATATACATAAAATATACAGAATATATATCCCATTGTGTGTGTGTGTATGTGTGTTTGTGTATATACGCAATTTAATTTATCCATTTGTCTGTTGACGGGCACTTAGTTGGTTCCATGTCTTCGCTATTGTAAATAGTGTTGGGGTAATCATGGGAGTGCAGCTATCTCTGACATACTGATTTCATATCCTTTGGACATACTAGTGGATTGATGGGCCATATCGTGTTCAATTTTTAATATTTTAAGGAACCTCCTTATTGCTTTTCATAATGACTGCACTAATGTACATTCCCACAAACAGGGGGTAGGTGTTTCCTTTTCTCTACCTCCACAAGAATGGCTGAAATTGGGACCAGCAGATGGCATAATGGTTGTTACCCTAACTCCCACATGGCCTACTACAATTTGAGTTCCGGACTCAAAGACTTGAAACTCACACTGGGCATGTGTGTGTTTCTCCTCTCCAAAATCCAGAGAGGAGAATGGAAGAGATGGGATTGTGGCATGGCCACCCCCCACCCCACCTCCTGAGGGGTGATTTCGCGCTTTCTGTCTCTCTGTCTCTCTTGTTTCTTTGGAAAGTACGTGTGCCCCGTAGCAAAAATTTCCTTAAAAAAAAGAATGGCTGAAATAAAAAATACTGACAATTCCAAATACTAGTGAATATATGGATTAAGTGGATCTCTCCAGCAGGCATATAAAATGATACAGTCACTCAAAAGTTGGCAATTTCTTACCAAGTTAACCAGATACTTACAACATGGTCCAGCAATTGTACTCCTGGGCAGTTTACAGAATGAAAATATAAGCCCATATAAAAACCTGTTCACAAATGTTCATGAAAGTTTTATTTGCAATAGCAACTGGAAAAAACCTAAATGTCCTTCAGTGGGCAAATAAATAAACTGTGGTACATTAGTAAATTAAATTCTACTTACTCATAAAAAGAAACAATTGTTACATATTCTGTGAATCTGCAGGGTATTATAGAGAGTACAACAAGCCAGTCTTAAAAGGTACATCTTGTATGATTAATTTTGCTCTTAAAGTTAAACATTTTAGCAATGGAGAAGAGGTCACCAGGAATTAAGAATGGGAGTGGAAGGGTTGGGTCATGGCTCAGGTGGACTCACAAGAGAGGACTTGGGTTTGCATCCTGGGACCTTTTTGAAGACATGAGGTGTATGCATATGCCCATGACCCAGACTGCTGGGACAGGGGATAGATCACAACTTGACCTTATTGGGCTGCCTATCTCTCTCTGTATGTCTCACATGAAGTAAATAAATAAACTTT